TTTTAGAGGGTTTTTGCCCATTCCCAGGCTGGTTCCCAGCCATTTCCAGCCTGGTCTTAGGTGGTCAGGCTGAAAAATGACCAGCTAAATCCAGCTAAAACCAGCTTGACCAGACTAGGCTGCTTTAAGCTGGACATAGCTGGTTTTGGCTGGGCTCCCAGCCTGGCTAGGCTGGTCAAGCTGGTTTTAGCTGGTTTTAGCTGGTCATCTCCCAGCCTGACCACCTAAGACCAGGCTGGAAATGGCTGGAAACCAGCCTGGAAATGGCTAAAACTCCTCTAAAACCAGGCTGGTCAACCAGCTAAGACCAACCAACCAGTCTGGACTGGTTTAAGCTGGATTTTTTTTTTTATTAGCTAAATGCTAAAACACGTTACAGCGTTAAATCAGTTAACATGGTAGATTGTTAAAACATGTTAGCAATCATGACACAATATGTTAAAAACATCTTAAACTTGTAAACTTGGTGCTACATTTTGTTTCAGTAATGCTAGTTGTGTGCTAAAACTGCTAGTAGTGTTAAATCATGTTTGATTAATGTTAGCAATGTTAAAACTGGCATTAACATTATAATTAATATTGTAATTAGTTAAACATTGTAATATTTTGTTCGGTTATGTTATAAGCATGTTAATCATCTGATAGAACATGTTAGCTATTTGCTAAAACATGCTGGAATTTGGCTACCTAAGTGATAGAATATGCTAATAACATGTCAACCAGTTTAGAAAACATGCCAGCAACATGCTAAAACTTGCTAGCAACTCTGTTTGAAAACATTGAAACACTATTTACAACTTCCAAGCTAAACTTACTGAAGTCTACATCACTGTTTGTCAGACATGACTATCTGGTTATCATGTAAGGGACTAAAAGTGAGTCAAAACGCCTAAGATTGTTTACTCAGTGCCTCAGCATTAGCCTGAAAGCAGGACGCCACCGCTTTCCTCCTGCTGTGAAAGTAGGAAGTGCATTTTCAGTCAGTTCCCTGAGAGATTTTTCTGTGGAATAAACATAGGAAGCTCCAGATGTGTTTCCGTACTTTTGACAGCCGCATTAAAGATACGCCCATATGCCTCTCAAACCTGGACATTCACTGGCAAAGCATCTACACACAAAAATCCAGAACTGGTTTCAGAAGATCAGCATGTAGCATCAATTCATCCAGAGTCGTGCATGATTTCTACAGCTTGAGATTTTTCATGCATGCCATTGATTTGATGGATTGATTTTTTAGTTTTGCCAAAAGATGTTTTGAAATTCACTTTTCATTTCATATATCATGTGTCATTATATATACACAGAGTGATTGAGTTGAATTCCTTATGAATCGTCTCCCTCCTGGAAAATTCATCTAAAACTAGCTTCTGCTGGTATCTATAGTTTTACTTGGTTTCAAGCTTGGTCCACACCAGATTTGCAAGTTCATAGACTTTACATATTTATGTAATTAGTTGCAAAAGCAACATTTTATTTATACATTAGTTTGACTTTGTGCTAAAATAGCTACATTTGCAGTAAGTCATTTGGCAGATGCTTTTGTCCAAAGTAACTTAAAATTGAGGACACATTCAGCAATTGAACAAGAAGAGGCTAAAACTAAAACTGATATACAATGTAAATGAAATTACTGAAATGAAATCAGTAAAACTGAAAAGTAAATTAATAATAAATACTTTGGGCTTAGATTAGACTTTAGACCAGTGGTCCCTAACTTTTTTATCACTGCAGACCGAGGGTGGTTTGTGGGTTGCTAGGCAACCATCAACTGTTTTCTCAGAGTATAACAAGCTGACAAAACATTGCTGCAACTCTGATACAAGTTTTATTTATGAAGTAAATTAAAAAGCACTGCAGTTTTTGAGTGTTCTGTGTTTGAGAAAATTAGTATATCGAAATGTGTGTATTCCATACAAGCTGAAGCTGAACAGTCAGTTCTTGTCACGTGACTCGCATTGCGCTTGCAGCATTTATTCATTCATTCAACTGATTGTGTCTGGAAGGAGCGAGCGCGTCACTCCATTTGTGCGTGCAAGCCGAACCATTGGAAATAACAAACTTGCGCAAACTACAGAACAAACGCAGTATGCAAACATTTACACGGGGCATCAGCATCAGCACTTCCCATTCACTTTAAACCGAATTGTGGGTCTGTCGACACTGCTAGCAGCGTTGCTAGCTGCAGAAGTTGGGAACTTCTGAACTTTTCAGGTGTCAACAGAAGCATCAGCCAATCAGATCTACTGATACTACACTAGCTCAGACAGAAGACGATTGCAGACTTACTTCATTGGCTGACCCTGCTATGATGATCGCGTTAGCCCCAACTTTAGACACATACTTTGTCAAGCATTGATGCTGAAGCCCCTTGTGAATCAGGCATAAAAGGCAGCCGTTTGCAATCTCCAGCAGTTGATCTTCTTGCACAGACATGCTGGATTCACCTGATTTGTTGACAAATGGGTTGCGGATCTATTCCTTGGCAGTTTGCTGGTCATTCACTGTGCCTTTTCCCCTTTGCCAAGAAACTTTTCAAAGACGTATGTTTCTTACTCATTTTGCTGCCTGTGGGTTAAATTTTGGCGCTCAAGTGACCGAGATGTAAGAGAGAGAATGCAGTCTTTTCAAAATAAAAGATTTTTCAAAATAAAAGATTATTTATTCAGACTTAATAATAATGATTTCTTGTGTGGCCCGGTTCCAATTGATCCATGTACCATAGACTTTAAAATGATTAGAAATAGAAAAGAAAGCTTTAAAATTTAAATACAATTTTGTTTTCCTATTTAGACAACATAGAGCAATTAGTAGTTCTATTTCAAAATGTTGTATCTGTATAGCTTTATTTCAAAAAAATGTTTTGATTACATTTTAGAATTTTTATTACTCACATTTACTTCAGTTAATTGTGAAGACAGTATTTCTAACATTTCTAAGCCCTCTTTTGGGGGTTTTCATTTTACAGTTAGCAGCTTTCAATTTAGGTAAAGACTCCTTAAAGGGATAGTTCACCCAAAACTGGCCTCCTTCATTTTTTTTCCAAACCTATTTGACTTTAATTCTTCTGTTAAACACAAATGAAGATATTTTGAAGAAAGCTAGGAACAGACAACCGCTGACTTCCATACTCTTTGTTTTTCCTAATACTGATATCAATTTCTACCAGTTTTCAGCTTTCTTTAAATGTCTTTGTTGTGTTCAACAGAAGAAAGAAACTGATAAAGGCATGTAAACACTTGAGGGAAAGTAAAGATTGAGTACATTATTATTTATAGATAAACTATCCCTTTAAAACTGGTGAATCACCTCGAACCAGCAATAAATCCATTATATTAAATACAAGTTTATTTATATATCGCTTTTCCCAAAAATCATTGTTTCAAAGCAGCTTTACAAAAGGTGCACGTTATTGCATTACAATCAAATTAAGTTAAAGTTACAATCAAATATAAGTTATTAAATATAAACATAGTTAACTTACAGTTTTAAAGTATATAGGTGATGTTTATATGTATACGTTTAATGAATTTATTTAAAACCATATGTCATTGTTTAAAAAATTAGTTTACAACTCTTGATCTGCCTTGTCTGACCTGACTCTTGTAATGTTTCTGTGAGGTGTAAGTGACTGACGTCTCTGTGTTGCCTGCAGGAGGATGCCAGTGATTGTGGTGGTGGCAGTAGTTTGAGTCCGTCTCTTTGGCCGATGTTGGCTCTTCAGCTCCTTCTACTCTGGCTGCTTACAGGAACCAGAACCTATTTTTCCTGACCAGAGTGAATCCAGCGTCTACTGACTGAACTGCTTATTATACAGACCACAACATAACCACACGTCCACTATACCGTCTCATCCACTCACTGCCAAAAATAACTGCCTGAATAAGCAACACGGTCAGACACGAAAGCTCATGTATTCAACACACAAACCACATTATGAAACGAACATGGTTGATGCAAAATGTTTAGTGCCACATACAGGCTAATATGATGTGTCAACAGTGTGGTGGTGGGAGACGCCTCGCAGCACCGGCCTGGATCTCAACGAAGCAGGGTTTATCCATTACAGGAGTGACTGTTCATCTCTGGAGCTCGTCATGAATTCTGCTGAAGTGAGCTTTGCACCAGTAGTAGGTCAGTGAGGTCACACCAAGCCCTTCTGGGCCCACCGAGGGCTGTTTTTCTAGTTTTATGTTCACTGTTTTCTGCAGTCTGTGTGTTGTGCAGTAGGGGGAATCTCATGAAGGAATTTGCAGGTCATATTTTCTCCCACAAAAGTCTGAGTGAAATCATCATTTAATCTGGCAATGAATCCATGCTAGTTAATCCACTGAAAACAAATGCTTGCTTTAGTAATCTTCAAGTAAAGCATGGATATTTGCTTCTCTGTTGGTGTTGGTTTGATAGCTTCAGCCACCGTATTTTTAGCCACGCCCCTCTTACTATTAGTTTGCTACAAGCGAATGATGCCCCGCCTCCTATTCAATATTCCAGTTTAAAGTCAACAAACTGAAACAGAAGCCTCAGTAACTTCCAGTTTACATGGACTTTAAAGTCAATTAAAATTCTACAGTATGTGTGTATACTATAACACTATGGGGCCATTCAAACAGAAGAACTTAGAAATGCTTTCAAGTACAGTGATCCCTCGTTAATCATGGAAGTTACGTTCTAGAAATAACTCACAACTTTTGTTTTGCAATTGTTATTGATGTTTTAAGCCTGTTAAACCCCTCACTACACACTTTATACACTTTTCTCAGACAGGCATTACCATTTGTTCTGCAGTCACTGATATACAATGCTAAAGCATGCTTATGAGACATTCTTGCGAGTCTTGTTGCGAACAGTTTCCACCCTTTTTGCATCCTTGTTAAAACATATTGCTGCTGTCGTTCAGATGCTGTGTTCGCGTAAATAGCCGCGTGAACATTTGAGTTTACTCGCTTCATTCGCGCGTCAAACCCCGCTTCATTCGCGTGTCAAATTCACTTCAGAACAGACGCGGATTCGCGTGATGGGCAGGGCTTCTGTCTGCCCGAAGACTCTAGCTTCGTGGCTAAATGGCTAACATGGATTTTATGAAGAAAATAACAGTGTTTATTTGCTTTATGAAGACTGCTAAACAGCGTCGATATGTTTAGGGCCGTGTCTGAGTCCACTACATCCTTTCAGAGGTGCATCCAGCTCTGTGAGCTCATAAACTCCTCCAGAAACTAAACCTGCATGACGGAGGCTTTCAACGGTGCTTCTGACTGAGCCAAGCCGAGTTTGATGAACTGTTGTCGGTGAAGGCTGGAGGATTTCCCTCGGAACACCGACAACAGGTTCTACGTCACAATCACGCCCCCACAAGAGCAAGCTTCTGATTGGTTAATGCGGCGCGAATGTACGCTGAAGTTCAGATTTCGAATTTGAGAAATTTGCGCGAAATGCTCGTTAAGCACGTCAAACGCGCAAAACGCTCAATTCGCCCCGCGCCATTCGCACAATTTGTGTCATTCGCGTCGTGCCATTCGTGCATATCGTGCCGCAGGATGTCTATTCGCGCATTTGCATTGACTTAACATGTAAATCACTCGCGCTTGACGCGCATGCCACGTCTGGTGTGAACACAGCATTATGTTGCTTCCCTCCTTCATCCTGTATTGAACCGAAGATTTACAGCCACGTAACTTCTTTCTTTAGAAGTTTTGTGCGATGTGAGTTAACATCTTCCTCTGCCTTTTGAGTGCTACCGCAGGTGCCTAAGATGGTGCAGAAAGTTCAAAGTTTTATGCAAATTTGGCAAGCTGAATGCATTCAGTACTGTACAGTAGACACAACACAGAGCAGATTGATAGACAATGGTCTACAACCAATCAGGATGCAGAACACAATGCACTAATCAGTACGCAGAACACAATGTGCTGTAAAAAAGCATGTCAAATTGCATTAAAAAAATCTGCGAGGCTGTGAAAGGTGAACCGGGTTATAGCGAGGGACCACTGTACTGCTGTGTTCACACCAGACACGGCACGCATGGATAAATTGCGCTATTTGCATGTAAATAGATGCATGAGCATTTTGCGTTTACAGACGCAGATTTGCCTCATGGACAGCGCTTCTGTCTGCCTGGCTTCCATGCTAAATGACTAACATGGATTTTTTTGAGATAGTAGCTGTACTTTGTGGCTTTTGAAGTCTGAAAAACTGCGTAGATTCGTCCAGCGTCGTGTCTGAATCCACTACATCCTGATTCCAGAGATGCACACAGCTCTCTGGGTATCAATTCCTTTAGAAACTGAACGTGGATGATGGAAGCCTTCAGCAGTGCTTCCAACTGAGCCCAGCCCAGTTTGATGAACTGTTGTTCAGTGCAGGTGGATTTCCCCTCGGAACACCAACAACAGGCGCTACGTCATAATCACGCTCCTACAAGAGAAAGCTCCTGATTGGTTAACATGGTGTGAATGTCCGCTGAAGTTCAAATTTTCCAACTCAAGCAATTCATGCGAAACGCACGTCAAATGCGCAAAACTCTCTTCGCATCATTCGTGGCACCTCATTCGCACGTATTACACCACAGGATGTCTATTTGCGTCTATGCATTAACTTAACATGTACATCACTTGCACTTGACACTTCATCCGCATCTGGTGTGAACACAGCATACCTCCACTGCCTTGTTATCATCTAATAAAATAAGTTGTCATGCCAACTCGCTCGCAAAACGTAATGGACACGCAAACCATCAAGTGTGTATTTACATGGGATTGAAAAACTAACTCTGTGTTAATCGCTCCTAAGTGGCCGTTCACACAGGATGTGTTTTTCCTTTGTGTTACCAATTTTTCTTTTGTGTTTACTATGTAAACAATGGCTTGATGGACGTTACGCTTGTCACTCGCATTTTTTGAAACAGCAAGTTAGGTCCATGTGTTTTTTGGCCCGTTTTCACTAAGTTTTACGGTATGGTACGCTTTAATGCCGTTTCCACTGTCAAAAGGTACCAAAAAGCGAACCGTACCGTACCACTTTTTGGGTAACCTTTCGAAAGGGTATCTAGCACAACAAAAGGGTACCAAAAAGCGTTCTGTATCTGTTCGTATATGTTGCATTTTATATAATCGCAGACGGTACAGTAGGCTATTTTGCTATAGAAAGGTTAGTAATGAATATTTATACACAAGTATTGATGTGTATAAAGCATCTGTTTTGTGAGAAGTGCTTCTCATATGATTTGTGAATGACCTGTACAGCTTTACTTTGACATTTCCTTGAGCGAAAACGACGTCGACTGAAACTTTGTTGTACACCATTTGTACCCTTTTGGCAGTGGAAACGCAAGCCTGATAAAGACCCGATACCGACCCGTACTATACCATACCGAACCTCTCAGTGGAAATGGGTCATTTGACACTGTATCAAGTTGAAAGAACTTCAACTTTCACACACAGTGCAGCTCATCTTTGTCAGTTTCACAACAGAGGACCAATCAGAGGAACTCAGAGGCGGGGCAACCATTGCAGAGTTGTTTACAGGCACTCTGTGATTGCGTCTGGATACCCTCTGGTAGCGGTGTGACTGAGCTATAAGGCTGCATTTTTTATTAAAAAGTACAGCAAAATAGCATTAAATAAATGAAAACAGATAAAATGTGAAATAAAATTTAAATTTCATATAACTGTTTTCTGTTTTAACTTATTTTTAGAGTACTATTTTAATCTTAATTCAGTTCAATTCACCTTTATTTGTATAGCGCTTTTACAATGTAGATTGTGTCAAAGCAGCTTCACATAAAAGATCATTTTAAATTGGAACAGTGTAGTTCAGTTTTTTAGTGTTTAAGTTCAGTTCAGTTCAGTGTGGTTTATTAATCACTACTGAGGGTCTAAACACTGGAGAGCAAATCCATCGATGCGTAGCTCTACCGATCCCAAACCATGCAAGCTAGTGGCGACAGCGGAGAGGGGAAAAAAAAAACTTCACCTGACAAATTGGCGAAAGTGAAGAAAAAAAAACCTTGAGAGAAACCAGACTCAGTTGGGCACTACTATTTTAATTTCTTTACTGGCCAAACGTAACTTAACTGATTTAACTTTTTTTTCCGGGTTCAAATGAAAAAAAAAAAAAATAATATATATATATATATATATATATATATATATATATATACATATAAAACAATTATTTCAATAGTAAGAGTATCTCTTACTATTGAACAATTTAATAACAGAAATGTTATCACCAATATATAATAAAACACATTTTACTCAAAGTCCATACCTAATGAATCAAATAAATCCAAAGAATTTTCAAGTGGCCTCTTAATTTCCTGCTTATAGCTGTGTTTAAAGTAAACAGTTAAAGTATTTATCTTTTCATTTTCAGCCAAAAAATAGTTTTTCTTGTGATTATGGGATGATATATGACCTTATTCGCAGTAGTTTTTTTGGTGAGATTCCCCCATTCTGTTTATTGCCATTTCTATGTATATTTTTGCTTTGCGTTTAGCATTCTGTGTTGCTAAATACAAACCAGCAACTATATCATCAAAGTTTGTGATATAATTGTTATAAAAATAAAAGTGCCACGTTGAAAGTCATGGAAAAATCCAATGTGTGATCAAACCACACACGAGCGGTGGATGATTTGATGCGAAACGCAGATGACTGAAGGCTGAACAGGCTCCAATTAGTCCATTTTTTGTTGTGTCAGAAGTCACACGCTCGCGTCCAAGGCTCCGAAGCATGTTGAATGTGCTTTCTAGTCTCTCCATCCCATCTTCAGGGCCCCTGCTATCAGACGATTGCGTGTTTTACTGTACGTCGTCCAGATACTCCATCTGTCAGATTGTGTTCCAGCTCGACAGACATGATATCACAAGCGTGTCAGATATTACATCCACATGTTGAACCACTATGCGAGAACACAGCACATGACAGGTTATAAAAAAGCACGACCCTGGAGAAATGTGCGTTGAAGATGGCCGATTGTATGTTTCTTTTATTTATTTATTTATAAGGGTTTTTTGACTGTGCATGAGATTAGATGAAATCAATCAAAGCTATCGCCGACATGGGGATATATCCGTGTTTTCCTTTTAATGTTCTGGACAACAAAACCTACGACGATGCCTAGAGCTATATGAAAAGTGAAGTATTTATCCATTCCAATCCAAAGGCCAAGCATCCAGGAACATATGAGTCGTTTTGACTTCAAGCTTTGTCTATTTTTTTTTTTTTTGAGATATAAACTTACAATCAATGTTTGCATGAGTTCTATGGCTTTTTATTCATGCAAAAAAAAATTCTAATAATAACTATGATGGCTTTATTAGAGCTTTTTTATCGAGGAGGCTGTTAAAGTGACGTAATTTTTAAGTGCATCTAAAGTCGGAAGGTT